GTTTCTGGATTTGTTGAGTTCATTGACGTATAAATAGAGCCTATAGGATATAATGTTTGAAGTATTTCTGTCTTTAATGTTTGAAGCTCTGTTTTGTCTGCTTTCTTGTCTAACATTGCGGGTAGTTCATGTGCTTCAAAGTTTCTGGCATGACTTTCAATGTTCCTGCAACTGTTATCTAAATTGTTTAGTGTATCTTTTACGCTTGTACTTGGATTCTCTAAAGGTGCACTTGAACCAAGGTCAAAGTTCAGTATTATGTCGTCTGCTCTAACAGTTGTAAAACTTGTATGTGTATGAGTCTTATTTGCTTTCTTCTCTAACTCATCGTTAACATAAGTTTTATCTGCTTTAAGGTCTAAACATCCTGAAACCCATCCTGTATCAGCTTTAGTTTTTAAAATCTTCGATGTCCATTCATGATACCATTCAGCCCTTTCTATAATTTCATTATCTTTTTCATCCACATATTCCTTATCTGCTTTCTTCTCTAACTTACTAGCCACATATTCCTCATCCGCTTTTGTCTCTAATGTTTCCTTAAGACTTGGTATTTGGTTAATATAATGTATATGAGTCTTTTTAGAATATTCGTTTTCAGCTCTTGTCACTTCACTTGACATTTTATTGTCAACATATGTTTTGTCTGCTAGTTCAGGATGAGTATGTTCTTTTGTTGCATAAGCATTGTTAGCTCTTTCTTCTTCTTTTGCTATTGCATCGTCTACATATTCTTTGTCAGCTTTGTTGTCAACATCTGCTTTCAAAAGAAGTTCATTTATAGGTTTCTCGTTTAAAGTTCCTTTTGTTGGATTTATACAGACAGTATTGTTCTTCTTGTCTTGAATAGAAACTCATCTGTTAAAGGGTTTAATGTCAGTTTTAAGTTTCCTTCTTTCAATGACTCAGATATCTTAGAATAGTTTGAAAAGTTTGTTGTGTTCTTATTTAGAGCTTGCATAATGAGTTGTCGGTTGTGTTGTATTTCTCTCATGGAAGCAATATCTTTCGACATTTTTATTCTAGATAAAATATGCTTCCAATAGAAAAAGAAAAATTCAAGAGTTGCTACAACTAAACCATTAGATGAACTTTTACTAATGTCGGTCAAAAGTTTGAGACAGAGACCGTAAAGCATGAAGGCTATCGTTTTGACTACCCATTAAGATGGCTAAGAGACCCATCTGTCACAAAAGCTATTGGCTTTCGTAGAATGAAGTTTGTGTCTGTAGAAGATAAAAGTTTTCCATTTATTGTAAGGTTTCATATAGATTATATATCTGAAGGGAAACGAAAAATGTGGGAAGAAATTGAGCTAATACAAGTTGACCTTTCATCTTCTCTACAGACTGCGTTAAAAAATATAGAAGATAAAATAAATTCATGTTATGCAAAATATGCTGATGAATATGCAAATACCGAGAGCACACTTTATGTGAGAATTGTATATGACAAACAAAATTCACAAGTGTCATTTCAAATCTACGAAGACAATCCAAAGAAAGACGAACAAATATATACAGAATTCACTGCAATGTCATGGTATTATTTGCAAAGAATGTTAAATCAGAAAGTCGAACTTCCTTTAGCAAATATCTACAGTCGATATGCAAGAGATGAACCATATTTATTTAAAGATGTTTTCGACCCAGCTGCTATTATTGTTCATGCTTCATTTTCTGGCGCCCAAAACTCTTTCTTATGCTTGGCAAATGACTTTTACGAAAAACCTACAAAGTTATACGAACCACCAAGTGGAAGTATTTCAGACTTTCAAGTATGGTTTACTACAGATGGAAGAAAAAGAATAATTCCATTATACCATGCGTTTTACTTAGAACTTAGTTTCATATACAACTACTATCGAACGGTAAAAATATAACTTTTTTAATACGGTTGAGGTGTTGGATTTGGTTGCCAACTAGACTGTGGTGCAGGTTCAGGCTGTTGTATAACAGGAGCTTGTTCTTCTGGTTCAGGGTCTTTAGGTATAATACCAACAAACTGACCTACTCTTTTACCAATATTTTTGACTCCGTTCCAAATTCCTCTTCCTACGGTTTTTATTCCATTCCATATACCTCTTCCAACTCTTCTGAAGAAGTTCCAAACTACTGAAGAAACCCATTTTACTATATGTAAAAATCTAATGTCCGCCTAGTCTCTTACGTTTCCTGTTGAGTTCCATAGCATTCTTTAACTGGAGCTCATACATTCTGTTTCTCCTCTGGTAGAAAACATATTCTGGGTCAACTCCTGTGTTCGCGTCATCTGCATAAAGTTGTTTATATCCCACTTCAGGGTTTGTATAAAACTCTTTCCATCTCATATTTGCATACCATGGTGGCAAACCTAACGCAGCGTCATTTGACATGGCAGTTTGCATTTGTACATCTGTTGGCACTTGACCATAGTTTGCCATTGCAGTTTGTATTCTAACTTCATTTGGAATATTCTCTGGGTTTGGTTGTCCAGGTTGCTGTGCATTTGCTAAGTTCTGTGCGTCCATTTAATATTAGATAAAAATATCTCTTACGAGTACATATACTGAACATTTGCAGGCATTGGTTCATCTTCATATTCTCTGTACTTTTCTGCCACGTCAAATAAATAAATGACACAATGGAAAAAACCTAAAACAAGTAGTCCTATTTCAAACCACATTTACTTACTAATAAAATTTCTTTATTGTGACACTTTCTCCGGTTTATAGGACCTCTCTCATATTCTATCTTGTCATATATAAACTCATAGTCATGTATGTCCTCTAACCATCTCATAACGGTTTCCAAACACTTTTATCGGATGTAAAGTAAAAGCATGGATGGTTATGTATAACGTCTAAAGTTTCTAAAGAGTCTCTCAAAGTCCAGTCTACTTGGTATTGAAAATCCCATGTGTTATAGAACGGCGGGTCCACTATAAAGAAAACATTTTCCTTGTCTTTATATTTTTCATACAACTCTGTCCAATGACATCTCACAAACTCTATACCCTCAATATATTTTTCTATGTCCTCTTTGAAAACATTTGTATAGTTAAGATATAAAACTTTTGACATAAGTGTTTCAATGTCATGAACTCTTATAGCACCACTATATAATAGTCTAGCAGATATACTATCCCAGTCTATATATTCTGCTTTTTTCAAAACCTCTCTCACAATATTTTTGTTATCTAATGGTATACGTTCCATCTTACCTATAGGTATCTTTTCTTTTAACTCTTTCAATATATTGTTTGTGTCTGGTATATGTTTGAGACGGTCCATATAGTTGTCGAAGTCATTGCATATAATCTTTGAGTCTGGGAATATTGTATGGCACAAATGGGATATATAGAAACTTCCACCGAACAAATCTACAAATGTTAGACCATTCGGTAGTTTCTTAAGTTCTCTCAATATAATATCTTTACATCTACCCTTATTTCCAAAGAACGGTAACGGTGGTTTTGTAAAATTCATTTATATATAATAATAAAAATGTTTTTACCCGAAAAGTGACAGAAAAGTGACAAAGCATGAAAACATATATAATTTGTGAAAAGCGACACATTATATAATGTTTTCGACCCAGAAGAAGGCTTCTTCCCAGAAGCAATGGAGGAAGAAGAAGAGTCCTCCGAATTCACACCAGAAGACTAACAATTTTCCGAATAAAAACTTCATTTATACTAAACATCTTCGGGGCTAGAGGGCACGAAGTGCCTGGAAGCCCCACTACCTTTTTTTTTTAATAATACATATTATTATATAATTAACATATTCATAATGTTTCACCCTTTCAAAAATATAATCCTCCTCCTCTCAAATAAACGTACATACGGGTGGCCTCTTTTTTCAAAAAATTAAAATTTGAAATTTTTGGCTCAAATATTAGAGATTTTTTCAACCTTCAACGATATATGTTGTCTATATCAGACTTCCTTTCTTTTTGATACTTAACATTGTTCCTAAATCTTAGCCGTTAAGGCTGTTCTGAAAATATTTTTTTTTCGAAAAAATTCGAAAAAAATTCTTAAAATTCAAAAATCCCTTAATTCCTGAGGATTTTGGAAAAAAGTTTTTACATGAACATGTGTATATTATATGAAGTATATTGATAAGGTAAAAATCAAATTTTATTGCATATTCATCGAGAAAATAAACTAACGAATCCCTCAAAATTGAGAGGGTAATCCTCCTCCTCTCAAATAAACGTACATACGGGTGCACCCTTAATTTTTGAGAGAGAAAAATTAAAGAAAAATATGTATTTTGAGTGCTCTTTCCATATTTTATTTAACTATGAAATCAAAAATTCTCCGCTTCGTGGCAATATTTTTGGAAACCCACTTTTCTAACCGTGGTTAACTCAATTTTTTGAGAACTTTGATAGGAAAACCGAACCCATTTACAGCTGGGGCGTTATATCTCGCTATCCAATCTTTTTCAGACCGTGAGAATTGCAAATTGACCGCCGGGTTACCGAACCCACATTAATTGGTGCAATTTAAAATTTCGTCCGACAAGGCAAGATTAAATTTTAGATTTCAAGCACACAACTCTACGCTTATAATATGATCATTGCTGTAAGAAATACAACAAGGTTACGAATTTTTGAAGTCAGATTGCAATTTATTAACTCATATTTTAAAAAATTCTTTTAAAAATTCCAAATAGCAATCTCCAAATACAAAGATATAACTAGTATTTACTATTGTTTTAAGAATCTCTTTCTCTAACGTAGATCTTTACTTATGGTTTCGTTATCTACACTTTTTCTACTAAGAATATTCTAAACAATTAGAATAATTCAAATTCTATGATATTCTAACACTATTCCTTAAATTAAATACTAATGTAGTAGCATTTTTTTTAATTTTGATTACTTATCTTCTCTAAGATGTAACAGTATCAATGTAAATGATTATAAAAACTATAAATACTTTATGTGCAGGTGACATATCTTAAACAAGAAATTTGAGAGAGCATCAGAAAGTGGTAAGTGTGCCCATAATTATGGTGATTGAATCTCATAAGATTCGCGTTTCGTGCAAAAGTCATCATTTGTTTTACAATTTTCAATAAGTTCTGTACTATCTTCGGAAGATCGCGATACCTTTTGATTTGTAGATGTTTCAGATTTTATCGATGCAAGAGATATTTGTTGATTTGCTATAAGGTTATAACCTTTCATTTTGCCATAAAAGTAAGGTGGGATGCGTTCAATTTCTTCGAAGTAATAATCAGGATCCTCAAATATAGCATCGTATAAATCTGAATCTATGAATTCTGGATGAACTTTATTTAGATATTTGTTTTTTATGAACTTAATCTCTGATTGAAGACACGGCATAACATCGGCAATACAATTAGTGAGAGCGATAATACTTTGATTTATACATTCTTTATAACAGAAAAATAGAACACTTTTGAAAATGATATTATGTAAGTGTTTTTTGTAGTTTGCAAAGAATTCATCCATAGATTTTTTAGATTCGTCTTCAATGTTAGCAAAATCTTTTATGAATTCTTCCTTTTCTTCTTTTGAAAACTTGCTCAAATCAACATAGAGGATCATTCCTTCATAGAAACTTTGAGAATGACCATAGAACCAGGCAAAATCTTTGCCTGATACAGTAAAACCAATAAGATACAACAAGTATCCAATATTAGCTACGGGACCTGAATAATCTATTGCTTCGTTAATATCATAAGAGCACTCGTTGGCAATGTCGTCATAAAGTTTGTTGTTTTCTTCCCAGAATGTAGAATGATGCCAATAGCCGCCTAGCATTAAGAATTTTAATTGTCACTTTTAAAATTTAATTATGAAATGAATGAAGATTTTCAACATATATATAAAAGGTGACCAAACTATTTTTTGAAAGTCCGCCATAACTTTAATGGTACTATTTCAGCGTGTACAATGAATACAAAAATTCTAAGAGTGCCACATAAAATAGTACTTTAGACTTGAGTTAATGCTACCAAGCAAATGTTAAAAAGATGACTTTAGTGTTTTGATAATCAAAGATTAAAATCATTATTGTCTAAATCAATAATCATAACGACAGAAGTTAATGTTTTTTCATCAGTGCTTTAAATCCACTTTTAAAAGTATACCTCAAAAATCAAAATATCAAAAAAAATTGGCCGATAGGTTTGGCTTTAATTTTTGTCTGCTTTTATGATTTGATATGGGTGTTATAATTTTAAAAGTTGAGCCAAATTCACCAATAGATTTTTGAGATTTGCAAATACTCAATAATTTTCAGCGTGTTATCTTTTATTAAAAGAACTATTTGGTTTCAGTATCATATAAATTGATATTTACTTTCTATTTGAACCTTCATTTAGCTAATGATTTAGTAATACAGATTTCATCTAGTCCTTATAAGAGAATTTTGAATTTGTTATAATAAAAAAACAAACAGATATAGCTTACACTTCTATAATAAAGATACCTTTTATAGAAATCAGTATGAAATGTGTTTTGGCTTATTGGAAGCATATCAGACATAATCGCCATAATCAAAAAATCTATATACCCAATAAGTAATAAATTTGTCGATATAGATTTTCCATAAAATTAGTTTTTAGTCTGATCTTAAAATAAATTTAATTTTTTATAAAAAAAATCACATTTAAAAGTATCTTTTTAGTAGCTCGAAATCCTGTTGGTGGATTTGGGGCGTACTTCAAAATTAGCTTTTCTTCTACATATGCAAGCTATATTTTAAATATGGGGCAAATCGGATCGGCAAAAGGAGTTTAGTTACCTTTTATATATATAATAAATTAATAATGCAAAATTTTCAACCCTGAAGAGATAATGTGATTGCCCGATTCTATCAAGTTAGTTGAAAATTTTTTACCGAAAAGATTACTCATTTCTTTTAAATATTATTGTTTTATAATTTTTTTATTTTCTTTAATGTTTATTTGAAGACTTCAATAAACGTTCTCATTCTTTGTGTGACGTTATGCAGCTTCTTTGCAAGAATATCAAACTTATGTATTCTTATGTCATCAATTTTGTTCAATTAATTTACACTTTCTGTCCTCTGTTCAATCATAATGTTTTGTAATTATGCTTTTCATTTAAATTCATTAAAAAGATAAATTTCGACATTTAAAAATCTGTCCTCTTTGAAAAATTTTGAATATTATTCCGCCAATTTTTTTAAATATTTGCTTCTTAGGTTCAAGCTTAATGATGATCAAATACATGAAATTATTCAACAGAAAAGAATTGTTATGCTATTTTATAAATGCTCAGATATGCGATTAAAGTTTATGTATGTTTGTATGTAACTATATTTGTTTAGAAATAAAATTAAACTGGGGAAATTAAGTATGTTTTTAGGCTTCTATGAGGTGCCACTTAATCCATATGTTTAAAGGCTGTTTTTCAATGATGCTTCACACCAGTTGTCATAAATTTGAATTAAAGTCAGATTTATACATATTTTAATTGTAATTTTTGCTAAAAATGATTATATTCCATACATATACGATTTGTGTTAATATTAATTTGTGTTCAATTCAATTTTGTGCAAGAATTCCAAAATATGTTAAACTCCTTTTCTTTTGTAAAGTCTCTTATTCAAATTTTTGATAGAGGTTCACTCAATATTGAGGCAGAAAAACGATAGGGAGACTTTACGTAGGAAAATGTGTTTAGATTCTAATTTAATTGTGGCTGCATTCGATCTATAAAAATATATTTCTAATGTTTAATGTTATTTTGTCAGAATCGTAGCAATTCTTGTCCTTCCAAAAAAAAAAATAAAAATAAAAATCGTTTGCAATTCAAAATTGAAACAAAAAAAATTATTTGCACTTTCCCTGACAGTAAATATAAAAAAAGAATTTTACAGAGGTGTGGTTGTTTATTCTTAAATAAAGAAAGTTTATTATAAGTAGTTTCTTCCATTCTACTGGAAAATATAGTTAAACTTTTGAAATTGGCTGGGATTCCAAAAATCAATTTGAAATTTCGCCTCTACTCTTCGTTTTTGGCGTTGGGGATATAACAGTGGGGCATGGAGAAGCCTTACTTCTTCTTGATGGCTTCGAAAATACATTTACTGGGTAGGTGTGAGACGCATTCCATTGGTCATGGTCTTACTTTTGAGAAGTTTATTTTTTTTACACCTCTGAAAATTCTTTTTTTTATTATCATTTACTGTCGTGAAAGGTGCAATAATCTTTATTTCAATTTTGAAGTCCAAACGATTAAAGAAATTATTTGCAATTTGGCCGGGGGCAAGCCCCGGCCAAATTGCAAATAATTTTTTAAATTCTCAGACATACGATTATTTTTGATTCAAATGCTGTTCGGCATTAAAAGCAAAAATAATCATATACATGAGAATTACACTTTTCCGACATTTTTTGGGTCGCTTCGCGCCCCTGACAAAACGTCGGAAAAGTGTAAATTTCAATAAAATGACTAAAAAGGTAGTTTTTATTTTTGTTTTCCCCACTGTGGGGATTCACCGGAAGGGGTGGGGAGCTCTCAATTTCCTTATCGTTCCCCACTTTTAGCAAGCTTATGGTATTCAATGATAACATATATCAAAAGAATATGTAGTAACATGTTTATTAATAATAAAATTATGGATCACTTATTATTAGATTTTGTCAAAAAGTAACTTTTTCATTTTTCTTTGTTGAAAAAATAACTCAATCAGGGAGAAGTAAAAGTCATGTTTACTAATATAAATAATATACTATACTAATATCCTACAACATGACAGAGCCCGTTTGTTTATAGGACGAATTATGTCGTTCAAAGTTGATAATAGTGAAATTTACAAATAACGTTATAGAAATGCAACACCCTACGTAATAATATAATAAAAAAAAAAGGTAGTGGGGCTTCCAGGGGCTGCGCCCCTTCTAGCCCCTAAGAAATTTTGCCCAAGACCCAAGAGGAGGACCGAACCCCAGCCGACCAGCCGTTGACTTTTTTGTAGAGCACTCAAAATAGTATAACTTTGTCCGGACAAGTAAGGGTCTATCGTCGCTACAGGAAAAGTTACAGGCGTTCCAAGGAAGTATACTTTGAGAAGACTTTCCCCCTTATAGAATGAGATAGGACGGTTATTTTACAAAACTGACAACACTTTGACCGAGTAGTTTTTTGTGCTGAACAAAAAGTGTCATATAAACATCTGTCAAAAACCGTTTTTTACTTCACTTAAAATGCCACGTAAGCTACGTAAGAATATACGTAAGAGGAAGGGAGCATTGAAACATCCAATAGTAAAACTGACACCACAACAACAGTTGCAACAACAAATGATGAATGACCCCACTATGTTGCAACAAATGTCAAGCAACCCTATGCTTTTAAACCGAGTTATTGGTGCACAGAGTGGAGGTTTAAGAGCGGCACTTTTAGCGAAAATGGCAGGCTATGGTGGAGCTGCAGACGGAACAGCTTATAACCCTCAAAGTCAAATGAATTTGAGTTCACTCAAAAATCAAATAACAGATGTCAAAAAGTCAAACATAGACATACAGAAACAAATAAGTGAAAACGAAAAGAAACTAGAATATGACAGACACACAAAGAAACTCAATGAGTTAAACGTAGAGAAAAAGAAGAAAGAAGAACAACTGAAAGAACTAAGTACAGAGGAATATGCGAAAAAAGTGTCAGAAAAAGCAGCAGAAGTAGCAAAAATGGAACAAGATGTTATAAATTTGAAAAACCATACTACTCAATATAAAGTACTGAAAGATGAAGAAATAAAACAAAAAGCCCTGAAGACATATATGGATAGCGATGAGTATAAAAAAGAAGTTGAAGCAAATGTAAAGGCAGAAAAACTTTTACAGTTGCAAAACCAAACCGTACAGTATGAAAACTTAGCACAAGAAAGTAAAAATAACGACGCAGCCATGCAAAAGGCAATGAAAAGTGCAGAATATATAAAAGCTAATAATGACTGGTTAGATGCCCAAGCCAACGCCAAAGCAGCCCAACTTATAGGGTCAATAAGGACAAAAATACAAGCGGATGAAGACAGTTCAAATGAAGCTTTAATGAATGCTGACTTTAAGAACGCCTTCGAAGCTCTTCATAGTAAGGTGAAACTAGTGAACGACTTCTCATCTGGAAAGAAACTGAAGTCTGAAGGTTTCGACAACGAGTTAAGAGAAGTAGCACAAAATATGACGAAAATAACAGATGCAGCAACGAGACAGGCAGTTCAAAGTGCCTATGACGCCGTTAGAGCAACTGTTGTGGAAAGTCAAGAAAAAGAGTTACAACAGACCAAAACAGACTAGTAAATGCTTTCTTAAAACGAAAAGTCAGGTAGGACATTATGCTGCAGATGGAACATATGTGCCAGCTGGTGGAACTTATATACCACCAAACCCTCCAAGAGAAGCACCTGCACCAGGACTACCTAAAACATTTACATCGTCACATGGACACAGACACAGGCATGCACCAAAACCAACACAACAACCAACACAACAACCAACACAACAACCACAACAACAACCAACACAACAACCAACACAACAACCAACAGTTCAAAACACTGCACCACAACCAACAGTTCAAAATCCAGCACACAACCAACAGTTCAAAACACTGCACCACAACCAACAGTTCAAAACACTGCACCACAACCAACAGTTCAAAACACTGCACCACAAACAGAGCAAGGACATAAAAGAAGTAGAGAACAAAAACCAAGAATTCTTAAAAATGCTTAAGGAAAATTATGGTTACCCAGATACTCTTGACTTTAGTGACAGATATAAAGAAGCTATTAGAAAGTTCAAGGAAGGAAATACTGACCCGAACCTATTTAGCTTTATGGTTCAGCACCAAAATGGGATATAATTTCAAACCTGGAAAAACAAGCTCGCTAAGGGATATGATTTAATGCATATCATCCAAATGACATGGATGAATTTACTCCGAGATATTTGGTGTCAGAGATAAATGATATTCAACTATCTTCATGAAACGCGTAAAAAATAGAGACGGAACGAAAGAAGAAAGGGTTATGAATGCGGATGCTTAAATAGGGAACTTGTTAAAAACGGTCTCGGAATATATGAAAATGCCAGCAGATGAGGTACAAGAAACTCCACAGGAAGAAGTTCAAATACAACCAGACATGGAAGAAATAGTTCAGCAACAACAGCTAGAAGAGCCTGAAGGAAACGAACAAGTCCCTCTTTGGAAACTAACTTCACAGAACTAGATGAAGATTGGAACAGCCGAAAAATCTTGACCCTCAAAAGAGTATGCGGAGAATATGGAATCTTTCAAGAGTCTAAGAAAAATTCGGCTGACATAGTAGAAGAATATCGAAAAAATGTTCGCCGACATACAAAAGACTCCAACATCAGATGAAAATATTCAGCATAGAATGGAATACTGAAAGAAAATGTACGCAAATACAATAACCCTTTTTACTTACGACCATATAACGTTCAATTTTGGCTGAACTCGGTGAAAATAAAAGGTTAAATTTCAACAAAACATATAGAAATGAAACATTGTTTAAAGTTCATTCAGAACCTAACCAATGGAAACAAACCTACTTTTGTTTCTGCAGACTATGGAACTACAATGAGATGGGGTCATAAAGCTAATCCGGATAGGTGGTTCATAAACTTACAACCACAATTCCAAGAAGTTGTAGACGCAATGGAAGTGAATGGTGAACCAGATATAGCTGGTATTTTCAGCGCGGCTTTAATGCCATTGAAAGATATGAAACATGCAGATATTTTGGACCAGTATGAAATGAACATGGCTGAAGGAAATATAACACCTGACGTTTTAGAACATTTATCTCAAAGAACTACACAGAACCATAGAGATGGTATATTTGGTGAAGAGTTTAGAAAGAAAGTTAGGGAGAGAGAAGGAAGAGAACCTATTGTACATGACCTTGCAAACGAAAGTTTACAAAATGTCATAAAAACTTACTTTGCAGACAATGAACTGAGAAGGGATGAATATTTAAGAAAACTCAAATGGACAGTACCAAATGAAATGTTAGTATTGAAAAACATGTTCCTTGACAAAATAAAACCAACTACAGAAATAAATGACGCAAGACTGAAACGTTGGGTAAAAGCTTTCCCATTCACAAAAGATATTATTGGTTACATGGAAAGAAAACCAGAATGGCTACAAAAACATATATTTGGAAACGAGCATATTCCATATGGACAAGCTATATTTGAAGAGCTTGAACCGGAAACTCAGGAAAGAGTCATGCAAACAATACGCGAAGACTCAAATACAAACTATGACAAAATCTTTCTAAGATATAGGTTACCTGAGATGGGCGACCAGAGCCCAAAGGCAAAAAGGACATGGGAAATTTACAACATACTAGGTGAACATGAGGCAAAGATGCAACAACTTGAAGCAGAGGGCAAGTTACCAAAAAGCGACACCAAAGAAGAAGAGTAGAACAAAGTGAAAGTAGTGAAGAAGTAACTTCATCTAGTGAAAGTAGTGGCAATGAAGGAAAAAGAAGAGTTAAAAACTCAGTCAGGAAGAAAAGTAAAGCTTGGTCCGAGTGGGTTCTATTATGACATATAAATCCAACTATTCTATATTTTTACCCATATGAAATGTACGCCGCTCAGAATATAACGCCAACAGTTTTGGATGCCATGAACGGAAATGTTTCCGAATGGTATAACGAATGCGACAATGCCATTAGAAGGTCAGAAATAGTTCCTGGAACTTACGAATATACAACTGCTGTTTCTTATGGAAACGTAGGTGAGTTTGGAGAAGGTTCTTCAACAACAGTAGATATTGCTTGCGACAGGTTTCATATTATTTCTATTGACAACTCATTCTTATACGTGGAACAAGACATTGAAATAAAACCTTCTGCCAAGTTGTCTGACAAGAAAGGTTGCAATGGAATTTTCTATGTCGGATACCAATATGCTCCAGAAGTTTTCATGGGATATAAGATATATTCTAACTCTGACTTAGTTCAAACAGTAACATGGGCAAACTATGAATGGTTCGCTTGAGAAACTCAGTACAACCACAAGCTAGAGAACAAACAGACCAGTATGCAAATATTGAGAAAATAAGAAGACTTGACCCTAACGTTCCAGGAGTTTATGTTAACCTTTCTGGTTCAGATGGAACTGCTGCCACTAAAGTAAAACTGAAACTTAGAGTTCCTTTGTCATCTTTCCTCATCTTCAGGTTTTTAAGATACTTGCCAAACTGGGCAGGAAAAATTTCTATCGAACTTACTCCAAGCAAAAATAACTTAGTCATTGCACCAACACAAGACCCATTCACTATTACAGACGTAAAGGGAACAAATCAAACGTCATTCGCCGAATTTTGCAAAGACAAAGTTGACTTAGACTTTGGTTTCTCAAACTTCAACAATGAAGTAAACTATTATTTCAATGCTGCTGGAACTGCTTGGGACCCAGTTAAGTTCACATGCGAAAAGTTTGAATGCAAGAGAATAGAAAGCAGACTTGCAGTCTATATGTTGGACCCAGATATTTCAAATGCTTTAGCTGCCAAATATATTGCAGTTCCACTTATGTTCCCTATACACCAAATATCTGTCAAAGACTTTGCAGGTGAAGTTGGAAACCAAAGTGCTGACCCAGGTGCAAGAACAGATATTGCTTTAACAACTGCAATGAAACATGCAGATACTATGTTTGTACTGTTCAGACGAACTATAAATGACTATTCTTGTTTCTACAACCCCGGTATTAAATATCATATAAACATAGATGGCAAATATTATCCAAGAGAAGAATATTCTACAGTTGAGGATATGAGGTCATACAACTTGACATTAGATGCTATGAACTTTAACAACAACTTCACAACAACCATTAACCCTGAAATGCAAAGTTCTATTATGCCATATGTGAAAGTATGGACTCATACAGGAGGTCAAAAAACTCAATATACAAATGGAGACCGTTCAAACTTTTGGCTTGGCATTCCATTTGCTGACTCAGAAGACTTTATGGGTGGTATTTCAACTGTTGGTACAGTTCAAATACAATATACCGGTGACAGAGACGGTCCAGATGAATTGAAAGCAAAGAAGTTTACAAAACCAATAGCACTTTTCACGGAAGATGCTCTTTTGAAGATTCGTTCGATGAAACCTGCTGGGGCTCCTCAGATTGGCATAACGACAGCTTCCATCGAGCAGATTTTGGCAGCAGGTCAGTAAGTTGTTCTTGAACTGACTTCTCTCCGTCAAATATTGACAGTACGCCAGTTTTGACATAATATTGTATTATAAACTTACCTTTAGAAATATCTGTAAGTTTTGTTGTTATATTTTTGTCAACGTCAAGAACTTTCACCATTTCAGTTATACCAACTTTCTTTGCTTTATGGAAATATTTTGGTTCAGCAAATATTGCTATTCTATAACATTTACCATTGTTTGTATAAAGAACTATTCTGTCAATGTATTTGTATTGTTTGTGTGTGTAAACTTTGTTCTGCTTCAATTCGAAGAGATACTCGAATACGTCCATCTTTTTATTCTAAGTAAAATGTCATTTCCGAAAAATAGAAGCGTAAGTGTTTCAAAAGGTTTAATGGCGGTGGCAGATGTGAAGTTAAATTCACCAACTCAAACAAACAGTCAAAGTGTTTGTTGTCAATGTCAAAGACAGAGATGTTGAAGTGGGGAAACCATACGAGGACGAACATGGTATAACAATTGTTCCTGTAAAAGAACCAACATATCCTGAAGTTAGCAGAGACTTAAGTTCTGTTGCAGATATTCGAAACGACTACCAACAACTGAAAGACAAACTTCAAACTCAGGAGAAGATTTGTCAAGCTTTAGGTATAATGTTAAACTTGGTCGAACACAACCCTGTAAAAGTGAACTCATATGTCATTGCACCTCATGAAGTTTTGAAAGAACTATTGAAACTTTTGACAGAGGCAGACGATATAAACATCAAAGAAATAGAACCCGACATTAGTTGCTGTGGTGTTTCATATAATGTCATTGACAAGATATACGTTATGAAAGGAGGTGAAACGTTGAACTTAAAATATAGTTTCCCAGACGTTATAAAAATATTTGACGACCACAACATTTCATTAAAATTTATTTGCTAAGTAAAAATGTCAAAACTTCTTGAAAGATGTTTGAAGAAAAATAATATAGACTTTATTTCATGTAAAGGACTTTACACACTTTTGAACGATATGAAAGACCCTGTTTTGTTTGTTCGTGTAGACAAAGGAAAGTTCTATGTCTTTACAAAATATTTGAACTTCTTAGACAGAGAACTTCAAGAAACGCCATGTGAAAGTTTAGATGAAGTTCTTCTCCACTTTCAGAAAAACTTTTAAATATATAAATGGCAGAAGATATAATGGTTTATACTATTACGACTAAAAACCCTGAGTCATATAATTCTATAACAACAAACTTACAAAGTCCTCAAGGACGGTATTGTAAACTAACTTTAAACACAATGACGACTAAAGCCTATTTTGCTCTTTTGACACCAGAAGACTTTATTGTTGTGAATGGTAAAAAATACTCCTTTGAAGATACTTACTCAGATATACCACCAACAGGTTTTGTTGACTTATTTAATACTTTAAGGACGGGTGTAACATGTGCTGCAACTAGAGCAGGTTTCATTATGTTTGGATGTCCGACTGAGTTTACTATAAACGATATGAGCTATAATACAAAACTTATTTCTGGTTTTTACTACCAACAGTTTCCTATAACAGGAAAAGGTGTCATACAAGGAATGTCTATTCCATTGACATTAAGCACACCAATCTTATATATTGTTTCAAACTTAGGTTCAAAGTGTTATTCGAATGTCGACAGAAACTATTATGACCAAAAGATACTTATGCGTATAAACAATACTTTCTCTGCTGGTTTGCCTATTGTTCATTCGAATGCAGAATTTTCAACCTTAGTGAACTCAAACACTTTGGCAAGTATAACGTTGACATTAGTTGACGCAAACTTTGTTCCTGTAAAACTTTTATGTCCTATGTATTTGTCAATGACGGCAGAAAGTTTCGAATTGGAAGATGCAACTGGTGAAAGTATTGTATTACAAGAACAACTTCAACAACAAATAGCTCAAGAACAACAAATGCAACAAATGCAACAACAAAGTCAAGAATAAAAAAAATATTTTTTTTATTTTTATAAAAATGTACAGAATAGATGTTTCAGATTTTTATGACTTCCAAGCATTCAGAAATATGTGTCCATTTAGAGACTATAACAAAGCAGTCGAGAATTTGAAACGTTTAGTCATTTATGTCGACTCTGCCCCAGAATGTTATGTTATGAAAGAATGGGATGTTGTCTTTAACAAACCAAGAGCAACAATAGTTTCAGAACAAGAATGTAGACAGAAACTTAAGAAAATAAAAGTTGTACAAGTTGGCATGAAGATGTTAGATGCTTGGGATATCTTATTGTCAAAGTTAGAAGATTTTTCAGTTCGAGGTATAAAGTTCTATACACCTTCTCCAAACTTCTATTCTATCTTCACTGGATATAAATACGAACAAGTAGAATGGAAAGAAAATATTATAGAAGCTTGGTTAGACCATGTCAAAGAAATTATATGCAATGGAAACGAAAGAGTCTATGAGTATATCTTATGTTGGTTTGCAAACATCTTACAACATCCAAGTGCTAAAAATGAAACTGCTCTCATTATAATTGGAAAACAAGGAACTGGTAAGAACACATTCTTTACAGATATTTTGTGCAAACTGTTAGAGGGCTATTCGAATCCGAATATGACAAACTTAGAAAACATCTGTGGCAAGTTTAACTCCTCAATAGAGAATATGAAACTTATAGTATGTAACGAACTTCAAAGTATAGATACAACAAAAGTTTTAAACTCAGATGCTTTGAAGAGTCTTATAACAGACAAAGTTGGAGTTGTTGAAAGAAAGTATAAAGACCAAAGAGTTTGTGAAAATGTTGCAAACTTCATTATGGTTTCAAACAATTCTGTTCCGATGAAGTTAGAAAGTTCTGACAGAAGATATGTAGTTGTCAGAACGTCAGAAGCTCATATGCAAGATACAGAATATTTTGACGACTTAGCAGAAACTTTGACATCTGACTTTTACAACCACTTGTTCTCATATTTTATGACATTAGATATTTCAAAGTTCAATCCAAGACAAATTCCACATACCGAAGAGAGACAAACATTGTTAGAAGCAAACAAGAGTGTATATGAACTGTTCATAGATGAAACTGACTTTGAGTGTTTAGATGAAAGGTCATTGTACGATTCGTATAAACAATATTGTCAAGAATATGGTTATATGACAGCGTCTAAACGAACATTCTTGGCAAATGTCAAAAGTCTTTTAGACGTACAGAATGGTGTATATACAAAAGAAAAATTTTTTCTGAGTAAATTTTAAAAAAAATATTTTTTTATCCGATAGAAAAGATGGCAAAATTCATCTCAGTAAATAAGTACATGTCAGGACTTAAAGAAGAACTAGACCCATTCACATATTTGAATGTTTACTTCTACCATTTTGAAAAGTCTTCATTCAGCAAAGTTTGGAACATCGAACCAGTTAAGTTTGCTATTGTGACTAAAAATGGTGCGAAATTTGAAGACTTAGACATAGAAGGTTTGTTAGCAGTCAAAGAAAGTTTTGACAGAAGGTTTTCAAACCTTAAAGAAGGCAAAGCATACAAACTTGTTATACCTTATGAACCAAAGAAAGCAGACGACTATGAATATTATGAGTCTAAAGTTGTAGAAGTTCAAGGTAAATTGGGTAAAAAGATTTTAGAGTCTAAGCCAGTGTTTACTCCTAAAGAGGAAGAGAACATTGACATTGACCCTGAAATGTTCTAAAAATAAAATTTTATTTTTACATGTCAAATTTCTTTTTCTCTGGAACTGGTTCAGGTTCTTTCTTCTCTTCTTCTACTTTCTTTTTTCTTTTTTTCTTTCTTCTTCTTTTCTGGTGGAGTTATGTCAAATTTGGCGCAACTATATTTATGTAAAAGTTCTTTGTCCTTTAATAGCTCTTCTATTCTGTTTTCTATTTCATCTTCAAGAACAGCGCATGTGTCTTCTTTGCATTCTAAGAAGTTTTGTTGGACTTCATCTCTCCAATCGGCGTCATCTCTGTCAACAAGTCTGTCATTGACAAATTTTAAGACTTCTCTGCTTAATGTTTTATGGTTCTTGTCATATTCCCAGAAACAGAACTTTAGAACAAATTCACCTTTCTTGTTTACACTATGTAAGATTTTATGGTCGACAGATGTTTTGCTGTCGAAAAGCTTATCTCGAATATAGATAGCGAAATCGCTAGACATTTTCTAAAAGATAAAAATTTTAATTTTTCTAAAAATATGTTAGAAAAAAAGTTTGCTGACATTGACAAGAAATTTGAGAATGTTTTAAACAAGAACAAGAGGAAGTTAGAAAATGCTCAGATAAAGCCTATACATGACAAGTTCTTATTTGCTCAGAATGGTATAACAGGTCTAATTGCACCACCTGGGTCGGGTAAGACTTTCACTTATCTTAAAATGGCTGCACAACAACAAGAACTAGATGAGAAGAACCCATTCTATGAGTTAGTTGTCATTTGTAGTACTTCTGGTCAATTTGACCAAACCGTCAATTCGTTCAAAGATATTATAAAGAAGTCTAAGTTAGTATGTATAAAAGACTCTGAGTTGTTGGATTGGATAAAGAAGTACCAAAGAAGAGTTTTGAAGTATAATGCTATAAATGAGTATATAAATTCGAAGTTTAAAGACCCAAATGAGGAAATGCAGAGAATATTAGAGAAGAAACACTTCAGAAACAAACAGAAAGAGATAGAATACATTTCGAAGAAATTGCAATCTTACGATTGGAAGACTTACCCTCATAGATGTCTTCTTATCTTAGATGATTTCGCCTCTCATCCTTTGTTAAAGAACAGAGAACAAGATATGTGTCGAATTCTTAAGAAGCTCAGACACTTTAACATCTCAGTTGTCATTTGTGTACAGACAGCAAAGAGTTTAAGTAAAGATGTTAAAAGAATACTTACTGACATTATACTTTTCCCCGGATTGTCCGAAGACGATTTCATGGAACTTATGAAAGAGTCCATGGCAGGTAAGTTTGACAGACATGAACTATGGGAGAAGTACAAAGTCATACAAGACCCTCATACTTCTTTCAGAATTCATATCTACGCAAACAAAGTTCAAATTGTAAAAAGTCAAGCTTGAAAAATAAAGAGTTCATTTACTCTACTTGTTTGAAGTTGTCAAAATACTCTGTTATTTTTTCCTTTAACAATGACAAATCTTCTTTGAAGGTAAAAATTGTACAACCTTTCATATCATAGTGTGTTTGAGGTAACGTATCTTGAACTATTTGTTTCACATCTTCATTCGGTGTCATTGAAATCGGTAAGTTTTCGCGATAGAACCAATTTCTGTCAGATTTGTAAATCTTAGCAAGGTCGTAAAAGCTTTTGTTGTTTCTTCTGACTAAATGCAACATAACCATATCTTTATCTTCTTCATTTTCCATCTCTTCAGTATAAATCATATACTTATAGTTCTTTTCCTTTCCTTTTGGTACCGAACGTGGTATTCTTTTCTGAATGCTTTTGTCTTTTGCTTCAATGACTTCATCTTTTGCTTGAAGTTTCTTTTCCATCTCTTCACGTTCTTGTCTATGAATTTCGTCAAGAAGTCTGTAAATATACCAAGCATAACGAGGCGAAGCCCACATTGCAACAGCATTTACAAGAAGTCTATGTACATACCAACCTCTCAAACCATTTGGCAAATTTTTACGATTTTCATGAGTTTTAGGCGACCCCGAAAAAAGTCGGTCTCGCTGTTCTTCGCTCAAAAGTTCTTGTGTGCTTTGGTTTTTGAACCAATCGTCTGTATGTTTGGTATCTGGAGCAAAACATGCTGTCAAAATACTTTGCATTTGGTACATATCGTCTTTGACCGAACGAATGAGACGGAGTTGTTTGTTAAACTGTATGTACTCGTATTCTTCATTTATGGCTTCATGAACGATAGCAGTTGTTGTGTTCTCTGTTGTTGACATATCTGTCTTTACATACAAAATAAAAAAATAAATAAAAATAAAACTAACTTTATTTTTTTTAAGTTTGGTCATCCTTCACGGTATGACAAATATACTATATTTTACTTAAAAATATGCAAGCGGCTCATAGCTCAGTGGTATGGGCTACCTCGTTAAAGGCGTCGAAGACCTCAGTTCAAATCCCGATTCGCGCAGGTTTTTTCCTTTTATGCAGTGAAATTTCATGTACATAGGTTACTTTGGTGTTAGACCCTAGTGAAGAAAATAGAACGATATAAGTTTACATTTGTAAGGTTACTTTGGTGTTAGACCCTAGTGAAGAAAATAGAACGATATAAGTTTACATTTGTAAGGTTACTTTGGTGTTAGACCCTAGTGAAGAAAATAGAACGATATAAGTTTACATTTGTAAAGTTGGACGATAAAAATCTCTGCTACTGTCAGTAAAAGTACTGCTACTGTCAGTAAAAGTACTGCTACTGTCAGTAAAAGTACTGCTACTGTCAGTAAAAAGGAAAATTTGAGAGGGTTTTCGACGATAAAGTACTGCTACTGTCAGTAAAAGTACTGCTACTGTCAGTAAAAATACTGCTACTGTCAGTAAAAGTACTGCTACTGTCAGTAAAAGTACTGCTACTGTCAGTAAAAGTACTGCTAATGTCAGTAGCAATGGTCGAAGTCGAACCTACCGACGAGGCAATTTACCTAATTGAAATTAACGAGCTTGTTAAAGACTTCCTCAGGCAGAATGTAAAAGGCAAGCTTGTTAACGGTTAGAAACCGTATAGAACCTTCATTTTTTTCCTCAAAAATAATGTTTATGTTAGAATATTAGAAAATAACATTTTTTCTAACATAAACGTTTCACATGGTAAACGTTATTTTTACATTATGACACGAAGTGAAGGTTGACACTTCGTCAAAAAAATCCCTGAAATCATATCTTTACATACAAAAAAATACAAAAAAAATGACACTTTTTCATTAGATAACTGTTATTTTTTGACGAAGTGAACATTGACACTTCGTCAAAAAAATCCCTGAAATCATATCTTACATACAAAAAAATACAAAATAAAACTAACTTTTTCATTAGATAACTGTTATTTTTTGACGAAGTGAACATTGACACTTCGTCAAAAAAATCCCTGAAATCATATCTTACATACAAAAAAATACAAAAAAATGACACTAACTTTATTTTCTGACTTTCACAAAAGACCAAAAATAAACGCTTTACATGTATTTTTCAGCAACTTCGTCAAATAATTTTATAGCTTTATCTATCTCATCTACTTCAAACGTTTCTTTACCTTTTATGGGAGCACCATACATTTTCTCAAACTTTTCAAGTAGTTCTGTTTCTGCAGCTCTCATATCATTAACAAACACAACCTTGACTCTATTGACTGTACTGTCATATCTTTGAGTTATATTATATGTTCTTCCTATCTTATATCTCTTTGTATTGAAGTCCTTCGGTTTCTGAACGATGTAAAGTAAGCCTTCACTGCAACGTTCCGTATCGAATGAACCATATGTTATGAAGTTATATCCAACAACTGGGTCTAACCATAACAAAACTATTGGTATAAGACTTTTGTCGATGAGATATGCTGTAGTTCCATAGAATCTTACCGATATCATAAGCTCAGGATTTCTTGTCAAAATTTTCTGAGTAGAAGCAATTTTAACCCAGTCCTTCGGTCTCTTTCCAGATGGAGATAAAATGTCTGACAAAGAATATTTGTTGTATTTCTTTGAGTATCTTACGTTTAAATCACCTATTCTAACCACTTTGGTGTCATTGTCTATCTTTTTAACTGTTTCAAACTCAATGTTTGACATATATGTCTTTACATACAAAATAAAAAAATAAATAAAAATAAAACTAACTTTATTTTTTCTGTCTTAAGGAAATTCACGATTTTCATAGAGTTTTGGCGACTAAGGTTTCTTACCTACTCGCTGTTCTTCACTGTTTTCGTACGGAATCTCTTCTCTCGGTTTTCCGAGGGAAGCAAGCATATGCCCTAAAAATTATTTTACTCAGAATTTTGTTGCTGAATTCAGCAAAAATATATTTTATGTTAGAATGTTAGATCTAACATGTTTTCTAACACGTTTTCTAACATGGTCTAAAACACACAAAACTCATGAATTTTCAAGACTTCATCGAACTTAAATGTTTTGTCAAGACTTCATTGTAAATGACCAAAAATATATTTTATGTTAGCATGTTAGATCTAACATGTTTTCTAACACGTTTTCTAACATAACTATTTACAAGCGTTTTACATGGTATATGTTGCGATGGTTCATGACTTTAAACAGTTTTGTAGCTTCTATTTCTTCTTTTAGTACATCGAATGTTTTAACAATGCCGAAGGTTTTTTATATTTCTTCTTGACGTCAGATAGAAGGAAATCTTCTGCTGTTGGATAGTTTTTGTTCAGAAATGCTAACATGTCCATTTTATTTTCTGCTGGTTTTTCTGCTTCTTTCTTTAAGTCTGCATAGTCGTTTCTCATTCTTTCTATCTCTTTGACGGAGTAGTTATATCTCCTCATTGCTGCTTTACATTTAGAACATTGCGGGTTCATTTTTGCGTTATATTCTGAAACCTTACCTGCTAAAACAACTAAAGCGTCAATGGTTTTCTTTAACTCAAAAGTTGCTGGTTTTATTTGTTTGTTCCATACTTTGCCTCTTCTATCTTCATCTCTTATCTGCCATACACATTCAGCAACTAACGAAACAAAGTTGTCGTAGGTCTTAAATTCTTCAGATTTATATATGTCAGAGATGTTCTTATATACCATGTCGCAATCTTTGTCCATAACCTTATGGTTGCAATGAAATCCTAGAAACTCATAGTTTACCTTTCGTATGAACCTCTTTATTTCTACTGAGTCAGTTGCTTTGACTTCTATTTCATCGAATTCAGGAATAGTGAGTTTTTGTTGCTGAATTTCAGGTAGTTTAGGCAAATGGTCAATAATGTCCTCCATTTCATAAAGATACTGTTCATTTGTTTCATCTTTCGCACTACAGTCTAAATTACATGTTAAAAGTTCTTGCTTTATCTTCTGGATTTCTGTTTCAAAAGTATATGAAGAAGGAATGAAGCTTTTCATCTCTACTAACATAGATGTTGGATTCATGACTAAAGAGTTTGGTGCTGTAGTTGTTTGTATTGCTGTTGTGCCGATTGTTGACATTTTTATTTTTTTATACAAAATAAAAAAAATAAAAAAAATAAAACTAACTTTATTTTTTATTTCGGGAAAATTTTGTCTAAAACATTTACGATGAAATCATGACAAAACATTTACGTTCATGTTTGACAAAGCATGTACGTTCATGTTTGACAAAACATTTACGTTCATGTTTGACAAAGCATGTACGTTCATGTTTGACAAAACATTTACGCTCATTACGATGAAATCATGACAAAACATTTACGATGAAATCATGACAAAACATATACCCGACATTCTCGTCAAATACAATAAAAATGACACTTTTTCATTAGATAACTGTTATTTTTTGACGAAGTGAACATTGACACTTCGTCAAAAAAATCCCTGAAATCATATCTTACATACAAAATAAAAAAATAAAACTAACTTTATTTTTTCTGTCTTAAGGAAATTCATGACAAAACATTTACGAAGAAGTCTTGACAAAACATTTACCCGACATTCTCGTCAAATACAAAATAAAACTAACTTTTTCATTAGATAACTGTTATTTTTTGACGAAGTGAACATTGACACTTCGTCAAAAAAATCCCTGAAATCATATCTTACATACAAAAAAATACAAAATAAAACTAACTTTATTTTTTCTGTCTTAAGGAAATT